GTCAGTTTTTTGTAATTGTTTTTTGGGTTGTTTGTATGGTGTCTTCTGTGTGTGCTTGTAAATGTGATAAATTAATAAAAATGAAAAAATAAAAGATGTCAGTGTTCAGTTTAATTATAAACTGTATTATGTCCAAGTGTCCTTGTCGAGGTAAAGCGGAAAAGTGAAACATCTCTTCTGGGAGATAACCTTTCAATAGGTTACTAATAAACGCTGTGAGCGGATTGCTGTTAACGTGATCCTGAGAAACGGCATGAACCAAAACATGTGTGAGACACGCCACAGTAAACATGGAGTTCTTTTTCCGTGGGCTGGAGTTTTTCCGCTTTGTACCCACATGAGGAATTTCTTAGAAACCCAGCAGGACTTTAACCCTCACTGCGCCGGTTTACACTTCCTTTGAGAGTATGATGGGCCCCAAGTCCATAAATAGAAAAGACAGACAGACTGAGTTCAACAAAGATTTACAAACAACAACCCAAAGCACCACGGCTGCCTACTCCAAACACAGACTGCGCAGATGTTGTCATTTCCTCTTGAGCAAGCCACAGCTGACTTTAAAAAAAGCCTGTCTTTTCATTTGCCTTATAAGGCTCAACACGGCTTTTTGTGATGAAACTTTAAACAGTGACACATCAGGAAAACTACATATTCAGCATTTTAACATCTGCCTATTATGTAACATTGAGCGACTTCTTTTCAAACGTATTCATCTCCTGCTGTTTTCGAGGGTTGTCCGAGTTTGCTTATTTCAGTTTGGGTTTGCTGCCATCTTCTATTTGATTCAAAGATTTGGAAAGACAGGTCACACATTCAAATATAAAACATTGAGCTTGGCTGGCAAACAGTCATATTCTCACAGCACAAAAAGCAGATAACTCGATTTGATAACTTGTGAAATGAGAAGTAAATCATACTTGCCTACCTTTTCTTATATTTGAGGGCTTGGGACTTCCAGTAATCAACTTCCTCATCCTTTGACGTAAATTTGGGAATCATCTCTTTGTCCATGTCAGGGAACCCTGAGGAACAAAAAGACAGATGTATTAGCCTCACAGCAACTCACAAGTACATATGGAAGCAAGCAAGGCTATAGTGGCCATGGGGTTAAAACAGGAACAACAACAGTGTACAAAACAAACCAGCGTGGCTCTAACCTGGTCAAATCATTTCACTATTAGGTAGGGCTGCTCGATTATGGCAAAAAACATTATCTCGATTATTTAGGTCAATAATTGTAATTGCGATTATTAAATGCGATTATTCATTGACTTTGAAAACATCCATTTATTGGAGAAAAACAAATTTTGAACAGTATGTTTTTAACAGTTGATTACCCTGAACTTTAAGTATAATTCAACTGAAAAACCAAAAAAAAATAATAATAAAAAAATAATCGTTTTATTTAGATTACGTTGTTTTCGTAATCGTTGCAAGCCATAATCGCAATCGCGATTAAAATACGATTAATTGAGCAGCCATACAATTAGGGAATGTACTGTGCATGTAGAAACATGCACAGTACATTCCCGTCTAATCTCAGATCAAGATTTAAAACATTCCCTCATTCCTCACTGCAGAAGAGACGGCTCTTTTTTTGATTGGAAGTAGCAAACAAACAAGCCAGATCAGCCTGGCCATGTCACCGAGCCGCTCTGAGGTCATGTCCTCCTCAGTTACTCATGCATCACTGAGTATAGTGTCTTAAGGGAAAAGTCACCCAATTATTTAGAAGCTGGGTTTGGATGAAGTGCCAAACATGACAGTGTTTCCTTTTGCAACTGAATAGACTCAACGATATGTGTGCAGTGCATAGTAGAAGTGTGTCTTCTTTATGAAGTGTCATTACATTACCGCTCATGTGAGGTCCAAATTACTGTAATGTTTAAAATGTCTCCTCTTCCGTCCCGTTAGCGGAAACAACGCTTCACTAGAAGTGTGTTCCTCTTTTCTGGTGAGCTAATAAACTCTGCCTGTGATCTCTGTGGACCAACAAGGCAGGAAATGATTAAACACATCTGGAAGGAGCTGTTTTGTGTGGGGGGGGGGGGGAATACAGCTGCTACTCACATTGCTGTACCTCCAGGAATATTCATAATCCGGACAGATACTGACCTACAAGGAGTTCCTGCTGATAGGTCAGACAGCCAGTGAACGCAGCACAGGAAACCTCTCAGCTGGACTGAAGTTAAGCTAACTACGCTCAACAGTTTGAGGAAGGTATTCTTTTGACTGGACAAGCCTGTCTTGGGCTTAGGCGAGGAGGAAGAAGAGGAGGAGGAGGAGGAGGGCGTGTTAGTTTTGACTCAGAGGGACGCAGACTCTTCACCTGCTCTTCCCTTAAACATTCCTCTGGGGTGGCGTCATCAACAATTTACTTGCAAAAGGCCGCTTCTGTGTCAGTCCTTTGAAAACACAAAGGAAACCAAAACACCCAGAGGATCAAGAGGGGTCCTCAAGGTGCTACTGATATAACATGTTAGATATGTGTCATATGATAAGGGAATCTAGCAAACTCGTGTGTGGTGATGCTGATGGGTGTAAATGGGATCTGGTGTTTTCTACTGATCTCTGTGAGTCTTCAAAAAGGCATGAGTGACAGGCAACTGTTCCCATGGTGATTCAGATCAAAGGCCTTAACAGTCAAATTGGTTATTTATTTGCGTCCGCCCACTGACATGACAGGAGCTACCGAAGCAGTCTCACATGTTTAGCACAGATGTGGACACCATGGTGCTGTACTGGTAACACGATACACCACTAAGATTGGAACACAAAGGTTCAGTTACATAGTGTAAGCTCAAGTGCTGAGAACAAATGACAGTTCCTGTTATCTCTCATTTCAGCATCCTTTGGAGCAGTGTCAGTTTGACCCCTGGGTCTGTTTATCTGTTGTTACAACACAGGCAGCAGGGCTCACAGCCAGCAAAGATGGAGGTGAGAACCTCACTTACTGTGTGGAGCCATCTGGGACTTACAGACATGGGAAGGTAGCAAGGAGAGTTTCCTTTCCCACATTGTTGTTTCTACATCCTCTTGTTGAAGATGACTCTGTGCTTACTAAGAGTTTAACTGCTGACTCAGATGGAGTATTATTTTTTTTATAACGGGGCCTAATAGAGGGCTGAGTCAAATCCAACTGTAGTGTTATTGGTTTGCTCTAATGAGAATAATAATCAGACGTACAGCTTCACATGTGTGGTGGTAGTGTTCCCTGGCCCTGACTATGTGTGGTCCTTTGTGTTATGCTTTAGCTTCGAGAGGACACTTCATTTAGCTGAGCAAAATCAAAAGGATAACAATCATACTGTTATCAGAATCATCACCAAAAACCCCCAAATAACAATTGACATGGATCACAAATAACTGCCATTTACAGATAATACACACCTTTTCGAAATAACAATCATTACACTGACATTTATTTGATTTATCAATTGTATCTGAATAGCGGCAGGTTGTCATTTAGCTGTAGGTATGTTAGTTAATAAACGCTGTCGTCAATGTGTGGATATTTATAAAACTGCGTTGCTTGACAAGCTTGGGATAATGCCAAACTGTACGCTAAATGCTGTTAAAAGAATGCGGTTATTACCACATACAAAACGTTAAAACGAAGAAAGCGAAATATCAAGGCGAAAATGTCTCTGGACATTAAAGCCGGGCTCGAGCTGTCATCTCGGTTTTCAAACAGCTGAACGCGACAATCAAACATGTCAGACGTTAAAACGAAATCATGTTTACGGTTAAATTCGTTACCTGCTCATGTCAAATCGGTGTCCAGCTATCTTTTGTTTCAGGGGGTCGCCTTCCAGCCGGTGTTATATCCAACACACACCTCTCCCCTGCTCTGGCCTCGGATATTAGTGACTGGGCTGTGTTTAGGAAATTGCCAACGCGTCTCCCGGAAGCGACGTAAATCCTGACGGGAAAACGTGCTGACGTAATTCACGTTTACGTCGAAACTGGGCAGGGCTGCTCTAGAAATAGATGTAGGACTACCAGAACCCGCCGCACCTTTTTTCTGACTAGATGTGTACTTTTAACTACAGTGACCACAGGGTGGCATATGATTGCCAGAAACCACCAAACAGGGACTCCGAACTCAGAATTTCTTCATGTTACATTTTTGTATGACTTTTTCTGTTTACGATTTTTTCTGTGAGCTGAAAATAGGCTAGACTAAATTTAGGCTATTGCAGAGGTGGGAGAAGTACACAGATCTTAAATAAAAGTCCTGCAATCAAAAGGTTACTTAAGTAAAAGTAAAAAAGTATATTAGCCTCAAAATATAGGCTATAACGTAGCCTCAAGTAAAAGTATTCCTACTTATTGTGTAAATTGGTCAATTTCAGAATAATATATTATATGTTTTGATTATGATTATTGATGCATTAGAGTGTTATCAAAGCTGAAGATTCAGCTAGTTTTAATGACTTTGTATATTATCTTTTGAATTTTACTCCAGGTCTAACTAAAGTCTTATTTAAGTGTTATTTACATTTCACATTATTTATCCAAGTCTGTAAGCTAACTATAAGGGATACAAAATAAATGTAGTATAGAGTAACAGTAGGCTACACGATTTACCAATGAATTGTAGTGGAGTAGAAGTATAAGTAGCCTAGCATCAAATGGAAATACTCAAGTCAAGTTAGAACCTCGAAAGTAAATGTAGCCTACTTAGTTACTTCCCACCTCTGGGCTATTGACATTGGTCCTAAACCCCCAAAACAGCCTTAGCCTATAAAAACACAATTTTGATGAAAGAAAAATAAGTTGTTGCTGTTTTCTTGAACATCTTTTAATTTGCAGTGACTCACATTAACACAACTGAAAAGGATGTTCTAGTTTTGCTCATATTTAAGAAATGCACGTTAGCAAGCAGTGCAGTATGAAGAACATGAAACGCAAACCAGCTTGGCCACTTGAACCATGGTGTCTTCCGGGGACCCAATCAGTGAAGGCCCTGCAGTCAGAGGTGGCTGGCCCTGTTTGACAAGGCGCAGCTCTTGCCTCGCTCAGCCAAAGATAAAGGAAGTCTGTCATGCGCTGAGGGAATTCAGTCTACATTTTCAAAGGATTCAACTTGTAGTCAACAATTGGCTGCAGTGGCTAATTGTCATTCAATGGAATTTCCTAAGGAAGATAGTCAAGAGGACGCACCAGAGTGTCCGGTGTGTTATGAGTGTCTCTCGGGCACAGAGAGGACTCTGAGCTGCGGACATGTGTTCTGTCACGACTGCCTGGTCAAAACGCTGGTCAGCATCAATGGCGATGGAAATATCAGAGACACTATTGTTTGCCCTATCTGCCGACATCTTACATTCATCAAGAAACAAAAGGAAGCGCTTGTGTGCCTTATGGACAAGGATCCAGGTGGAGGGCAGACCCTGGAGGTGCCCCTGCCTCCACCACCGAGACACACCCAGAGCGCACGGCGCAGCTCCACTTTGCCGGTAGAACTTAATTGGATGTATCGCTGCTTCAGGGAAATGTCTGAACGAATCCGCCGACAGAGGTTGATCAGCCCCAGCCATAAAGCATCTCAGATTTTTATCATAAGCGCTCAAGGCCGACCCATGGCAGAAGACGATGCGTTTAGTGTTGTGATGACTGTGGTTCCACCGCAGCGCAGGCAGAGGCGAAGGCGCAGGATTTGCACCACTGCAAGATGCCTTATCGTTCTGCTCTCAGCTTTTACTCTATTGGCACTAGTGGCTGCAACGCTACCCTGGATTTTGTTGGCATAGCACCGTGATGTGGGTTTATGGATTATGATGTGCCAATAGGGGATGATACATTGACAATTATAGCGAATATATTCTTATGGAATTAAGTTTATGGTTGCTAAGCAATGAAGTGTGTGAATAATGTGTTTGTCTTTCTGATGAAAATAAGGCATTTCCTTACAGAATCAAAAAGTAAAAAATGTTCAATTAAGTGAATATTTTGAGTTGAAAAGTGGGTTTAAGATATAATTAGGTATCGTGATTCCTCTCCTGGTTTTCAGGTCAGAAGTCAGAAGGTGTATGCCCCTTTGTGTGCATTACCAAGCAACAGTATAGTAAAGTAAAGTCAAGGTTGAAGCTTTGACAGTCTTTTGTTTTGCATTCCTGTCTGTGACATGTTCGACATGTTTGATTAGAATAAAAAATGCAATACATCCTAACAATTTCAAAGCACACTCAAAGGTTACTAAATCCAAAACGATTGAACATTTTAGAATGAAAAAATGGGGCCTGCCAGAAAAAGTGCAATAAAAACCATGTAACCCTAATCACATTGTTGTTAAAGCAGCTCAAGTCAATGTTGTGTTCCACATTTCATTTTTAGACTTTAATTTGACACCTGCTAAATAAAAATGTTTGATAAGAAGATTGAAGGGAGTTAGATACACAGTTACATATACAGACTGGCTCACATTGTAGTGTGTATGGACGCTGTAAACAGAGACACCTTTAAGAAATAATTGATGCACCCTGTGCAGTCTGAAGGAGATATACTGTAGCAGGTAGTAATGAGCTCTGCCTGGCTGTTTGCTGTAAGAAGATACGCCGCCTATACTGTGGCATTAGATTACTTGACTGTCTAAAGAACCAAGATTAAGATGGAGAAGAAAGATATGAGCATGGCTTAAAGGGGAAACAAGTAACAACATAAGTTATATAACAAGTAGAAATTACACAATCACTGGTTTCTTTGAAAAAATACTTGCTCTTGAAACAATGAAGTCAAACAAAGAGAAAGGCAGAGTGACACCATGACACATGTGTACACTCCTAGTTTCCTCCTGTGGCAATCCCTCAGCCGTCCTGCTGGGCTGGTCCTACAGGTTACACACCTGAGGGGCGTCTGTTACATTGCATTGCATTTAGCTGATGCTTTTATCCAAAGCGACTTACAATAAGTGCATTCGACCAACAAGATACAAACTTAAAGAAAACAGAATCACATCAGGTTTCATAGAGCTAAAACATTTCAAGTGCTACTCAACTGGCTTTAGATAAGCCAGTCCTTTATTAGTATATAAGTGCTTTGTTTGGCTGCTGTTCTGCAGCCAAACCCGTTTCTAAGAAAGTGAATAATCATTATTACATTTGATGAATCAGATTTTAAGATGGTAATGTTGTTGGTGGCTTGCACGGCAGTGGTTAGAGCGGATTAATTGTAGTTATAAATGCTAAGCAGATGCAATATTTAAGGCAAAGATATAATGAGTGAAAACAGTATAATAGTAATTTATTCAGGTTAAAATAATGACAGTACCGATTGAGAGAAAATTGCTTGAGTGAAAGTCCTGGATTCAACTAGTTGACATATGTATCATCATTAAAATGTACTTGAAGTATACAAATGAAGCAGTAATAAAAGTAATACAACTTGATTGTGTACTTTAGCACAAAATTAGTAAATGTATTAATTTACAAATGACACCAAATGTAGTGGATTAAAAGTACAAAATGTTTTCCTTTAAATATAGCAACGTTTAGGTTGCTTAGAAATACTGAAAATACTCCAGTAAAGTTAGTAGTGTTGACCATCAACTGTACAATTTGCCAAAACTTTATTTTCCTAGGAAAACAAAACACTGCAAAAAAGCCACATGAACCAGGTGAGATATTACAAATGTAGAGTTTAATATATATATTTATTTCTGACATTCTGATAAGGATTGCAGGTAGGCTTCACAGTACACACTGTGTACCACTTGATATGCTAAGCAGAGGAGGGAGGGGTGGGCATGGTGGGCTTGACAAGCGGCAGGTTTTGTTTTTGTACACTAGTAGTGAAAGCAGAAGGAGGCAGTACATCCACAGGCAACAACCACTCCTCTACCGTATTGCTCAGAACCCCACATAGGACCATTCATTATGATCCACATTCTCAAGAGTCAAACTCTACATTTCACCCCTTTTACAATCCCTAAAAAGACAGTGATTGACACAAAACGTGGATTATCAAAAGACTATCTATAAGCGCATGCATGACACTTTTTCAGATTCCCCCATTTTTTTTCATTGCAGATTCCTCCCAGATGTAAACAAGTTGAGCTTTACTTTAGACCAACATACTTGGTGGTAAGGTGAGCTATAAAATGTAGTTCTACAGTAGTTAAAATGCTTGATAAAACTACAGTGTACCATTTGGTGCAAAAGGTAACTCTATGAATATGCTATTGAAAATCGTTGTAAAGGTAGATGATCTGAAATTAGATATGTGATGATATTATGACTTGAGCTTTGGGGAGGGTACACGTGTTCTTTTTCCTTTTGAGCAGCATTATAATCACACTTACAATGAACAGGAATGCATGCTTTTAGGTGGCTGTATGTTCCAGTTATGTTGCACAAAAGCATTACAGTAATACTGCCCTGCACTCATAATAATACATGCCAACAAGGAACCTTCATCCAGATGTACCATGTCCATTTGCCTTTTTGCTATTACAAAATCAGGTAGCCTACCATTGGAAATCTTAGTGAGTCACATTCAGTCTGCACACACAGAGAGAGAAACCCTGCCTTCTCGTATAAATGTATGGATCCAGCACAGAAAATAAAACCTCTATACACAGTAATTATGCCTATAGTTCCAAAATAACAACCAGAGTGAGGGCACTTGCAATTGTTTTCATATAATCACCACAACTATCAATATAAGTATCAACATCACCAAAATCTTCATAAACATAGTTCCTCGAGAACACACACGGAGCATACCATCACTTTTGGAGAAAGGTTCATCTAGAATTAATAACTGAAAAAAGAAAATACTTGCTTTGTAATAAAACAAATGGCTTTTTCTTCTCTAGGGTTGGGGAGGGTAACACTTTTTGGACTGAGGTGGCTCAAAACACTGTAATTGCACTTTAATTGACAAAATGATAGTCCTAAAACATTTGTATAGGTGATTAATAAAGTTACACTGCATCGGTTATCTGATAAACTTAAAGAACATCAGAATAATTCTCTGCAGTTAGAATTACAACAAAATCATTTTAATATGGTGAAAAAGCGAGTGTGACAAATTAGCTATTATATGAGCACAACATGTAAGCCGGTCCATCAATATATATGCTAAAGACTACGTTATCCTCATTATGAATTGATTAAACGAGCTGAATGTTCGCAAAGTAAACTTATTATTTACAGAGGAATCTATTAAATAACTGATTCAGAAGAAAAGATAGGGCAATGGTGTGCAACTCATTAGTACTAGAGTATATTTGAAGTCAAAGCTCAGGAGACAGAATTAGAAAAAGCCACAATAGATTTCTAGCAGAAATAACATTCTGCATTTCTGCTGCAGCATCATTGTTACCTGGTGTTAAAGAGAAACATTATGAATCCACAATAAACCTGTTCATTGTGTGCAGGGACAAAAATAACAGCACATTTTTAATCATTACATCTTCTAGACATGATAAATATCAGCACATATATTATTATTAATATCATCATTATATATATTTGAAATATGCATTTTTACATATACTTTTACTCTCAGATTTATATACATCAATGTATGTACAGTCTTTGTATTTACATTAGGGGTCAAAGGTCACTGAACCTGAAGCACTTGAAACAAGGTTAAAAGAGAGAATCATACGAACCTAAAGGCAGTGAAGTCATCCATCAATTTTCATCAAACTGTAACAGCACATGGGTGGTCTACATTTACTCTCCAAGGACAACAACAACCAACACACTCACACAAAATAACATACTGCCATTCGGAGGCCCTTGATCAGAAGCAGTTTGTTTATAGTGGCTTGTCATGCAAACACATTGTGGTGCTTTCGTCCAAAGAAATGTAATTTACAGTAACATTCTTCTCATACTGTGCTGGTATAAAGTGAGTTAAAGTGAGCTTACCTGTATGAGGGTAAATGTCAGATAAAGAACAGTTGTAATATGTGATAGCAGAGGGGAAGTAAAGATTGGGTGTAACGATAAGAAGTAAACTGCATTAAACGTTTCATCCTGCATGCAAAACCTGTCTCTACGGCTCAGCATTATCCTAATGTGCACAAAGCTTAAATACCCTGTGAGCAATAAAACACGACTACTCTCTGGAACACCCTGAGGAGGGGCTTTGCTCCTAACCATGTCAGGCTCTGAGTTTCCCTTACCAAAAGTTGCACAACTTGTGAATATCATATTGCAATATGATTGCATGTTTTAATAAGGCAAACATACATTGAAAAAACTACAGACCACTTCATCAAAGAACATAGATGAACAAGCTAAATAAATAAATAAAATCTCTTAACTTAATACTCATTCTACTATACTTATTCCAGTCTTTCCTCCTAAAGGCAACTGTTTCTCCGCTATGGCATTTTGGTGTTTTTCTTTGTAGTCACATTTAAGTTCTAGCAAGCAATTGTAAGAGATGAGTTTCTTTGCAGCCTGTAGCAGATGTGTTCGAGTCGTGGTTTCAGGTGGGCATTGGTGAGGCCAATTGGTGTTTCCATCAGGCCTTGATGGCGACAGTTAAGAGCATGTATAGCCACAGGGGTGCTGGTTAGCTGTGATGCCTTAGTGTCAAAGGTCATAGAGTGGTGCTCTGTGGCTCCTCCTCAGGCACAGCGTCCCCCTCTGGAGAGTCTGTCACTGCCAGGGACCTCCTGCAAGGGGCACCGCTGAACTCATCGATGAGGCTGTCCAGATTGACATTGATGGAGGGGATTTCATAATTGAAGATATCTAATGGTGAGCATGGTGGGAGAGGTGAGTATGATGAGCAGAATGGTGGGAATGGGGATGAAGAGCAAGAGGAGGAGGAGGAGGAGAAGAGGGCATATGAAGATGATAATGAGGTGTAAAAAACGGAAGAGAGCAGAAATAATATTAATCTTTTTGAGACTGAACTCATGGTAAGTGGCATGTCTGTCCTGATTCAAGTAATCAGTAGATTACATGTGCTTCACATTCTACACAGGGATGTTTCAGTGTGTTCTAGTCATACCTGAATGACTAGTGTGGCATTTCACAGCTTTTTGTGTCTTTTGAGACAACAACAACATATATTTTTGCTAGGTAAAATAAAATAACAGCTCAAAAATGACTGCACAATGACATTACTTTTCACGTTACAACAATGGTCAGGTAAACCAACACAGAGGCAACAAGATGTGTGTGGAACTCTGTGGAAGAATGGCACCAAGACACCAAGTGGGCTTGAAGTAACAATGGCAATCTCATAAGGACCTGATACTTGCTCTTAATATATCCTAATGTGCTGCTGCATTGACTAGAAGCAGCAGGTCCAAGCAGAGACTACTCCTGTGTAGGAATGAGATGGAGCGTGGCAGTGTAGTAAGAGGGAGCAGAGGTTATAAAAAGCGATGAATCTGCCAAAGGAGGATTGGGGGTTACCTGTGCCCCCCCCCGATACCAGTGGCAGACGCGTTAGAGGGGGATGTCTGCTGGCATTGGGCTGGGAATGGGGTACGAAAAGAAGGGGGGCTTTAAGATGGACCTTTGTAAGCGACGGCGTCTGCAATGTGAGCGCAGTGTGGTGCACTCTGGGAAGTCCTTAAGCCATGCATTTTCGGTTGAACTGCAACACCATGCAAAAAGTAAAAAATGTCAACCTGCTCAAAGAGGAAATAGGGAACGTGTTCTGATTGAAAGCTACAGGTAGATATTTGAGGCAGGCTGCAGGAGACCCCAGAGGCAGCCACAGCACGAGGCCAGGCAGTGAGATGGAGCGCATGGGGTGGGGACGGTCTGGCTTACCCTAAAAGTCCCCCTCACACTTAGCCCACACTGAATCCCTGGCCTCACACAGCTGCAAGGTACACAATAGTAGCAGGGGGGAACAAGAGAATGATAAATATAGCAAAGTGACAGAATGATTGGTATATCATGACAGAACACCTCATCATCAGAACATATACTGTAGATAGAAGGTGGGGTTTGTCTGGCTAGGTGTCTGCGCCTGTTACGCAGTAAGAGAGACTGGACTGTAAAGTAAGCCTCTGACCTACCTCTGCCATGTGAGGGTCTGGGTAACACAGATAAACAGAGAGCACATGATGAATCTAATGGCAACTTCCATACAAGCAGGACGAGCTATGCTTCTCTGATGTTTCCACACATTACCCAGAAACATCATCACATAACACAAGCAATGAATACATAGGTCAAGGAGGTTTGCTCACTACAGTAGCAGCAAAAATGCTTATATTTACATCATTCTTCAGGCATCTGTGTCTAAAGGCAACTTTTTTTCATTCAGACATTCGCTTGGGAACAGTCAATAAGGGTAAGGGGATCTTTTATATCTACATGACATATGACAAGTCCTACAGAGTTCTACACTCGTCCGCCGTCTCCATTGGACAGAGCCACAGCGAGTCTGAGAGAGGGCCGCTGCAGCCCCACCTGAGGGGGCGGAGGGGGTGTTGTTGCCAATGGCTGGTGTTTACCTGTAGACATGCTCTCCCCGGGAGACAGTCCATCCAGGAGGCCCAGCTCCAGGGGCTGGGGGACTGTGGCCATGGCCGAGCCTGTGAACAACTGGGGGGCTGTGGGCGGCTGAGGAGGGGGCAGACTGGGTCTCTGCCTGGGCTTTGGGGCGGGCCGCGACTTGGTGAGCGTTCCGGTCAGGGAGGGAGGGGACGAAAGGGAGTGGGATGCCCCAAACAGGGTCTGCCCAGGGGAGCAAGGCGGCACTTGCCCCGGAGGGCAGGCCAGTCCATAAGGGGAGGGGGTGCTAGGAGGTGTGGGGGACAGGCTGACCGGTGACGGCTGACCTGTTGATTGGTCGGACATCCCGCAAGACTGGCTGTAAGGGACCTTGGGAGGCACAGGGGCCAACTTCTTGGAACCTGAAAGCACACAACACAGTCAAATTCCTGTTAGATATCAATTAGTAAAAATACACAATGACTTAGATTGCAAGCACTAAATATTGCTTTTTTTCTTTTAACCTTATTCTGAAAAAGACAAAAGTCCTACTTTGCTGTTCACATGGCTAATCAAAACGAATACTCCACTAATATTCCTCATTAAATGCAGACCTGCATACTATGATTTACATAAACCCCCCCGGTTAGTATATCCTAGCTTAAGCCTTTTAAGTAACTTTAATCTCCAAAATCCTCTTGATTCCAAGTCTTTCATAATGTTTAAAAGTAGGCGTGTTTCTCCTTCCAACCAGAATCTTTTTGGCATGCATCTCTATCCCAGCACTGCAAACTGCGCTGTTTACATGTGCAAAGAATGATCCTAAAACCTGAATAATAAGGCCATATCCCACATGACATGATTAGGAAATGCTGCATTAGAAATATTGTGGAATAGTGGAATATGTGCATGTTAACACAATCATTGTAAACTCGGACTGAGAGAGGTGCTGACCTTTGCGCAGGGTGTGTGGACTGTGCTCTATGGAGTGGGGGGACTGGCTGCTGCTCTGAGGACTACAGCTGAGGGGGACTGTCGGACCGGCCACCTGGATGCCTTTGTGTCCAATTACAGGGGAGAGCTCTTTACTCTTGAATGAACTGAAAAAGACAGAGAGACATTAGTGTGTGAATAGTATTACAGTAACTGTCAGTATACCTCATGTGCACTACTTTAGAGCCACAGCAGCCATCATCACCATCATCATCACCATCATCATCATCACCATCATCATGAGTTTCACTTTGTTAAAGAACACTGTTACCAATATTACCATATACTGTAATCAATATTAATTAATACAATTAACCCAGAACATGTTGTAAAGCAAAGTGTTGGATTGGCATTTCAATCAGAAAAGTGCAGCCTAACAAACCCGATCTTTATTTAACCACTATTATTATTATTATTATTATTACATCCAGATTGATATAATAATCGTGTATGTATAACAAAAGCACAATACATTCCAGTTTCAGCATGTTATATAGAACATCAATACATTATATTTATTTATGTGCTGTATTGTAAGATACAGTATATAAAAAAAGAACGTTCAACTACCTTCCTGTCTGTATATAAAGGAGCTTATCATGATCTAAAATACCAATGATGTTCAGAGACAGCTGGGATCTCACGACAGTGTAAGATTTCCACTGGATTCCTCACAAAAAAGGACACCGAGCAGAACAGAAGGTGTACATATTTGTACCCAGCAACAAATACAAAGCAGAGTCATGAGTGTGTCACTGTGTGGAACCACCTTGATTAACATCAGTATTATTACTTACGGAGAGTATTGAGGATGCACCGTAAATATGGTAGGGATTCTGCATGTAACATATATGAGCAACTAAATCTAAATTCTGTGCTATAAGCAAAGAGTAGTTAATGAAGGTATTGTATTATCTTCTCACTTTAAATAACGTGTTTCTGCGATTTCATGGCTGTAATAAGGATATCCTCAATAATATAGACACAACGTTGCAAAAACTCATATGAACTCACATCCACAAAGACAACCATTTTGGATTATATGACATCTAATTAACTGCAATGTCGGGCAGTCCCTTTGAGATGTCTTTCCCCGAAAAGAATCCATCTGAATGGGAAGCAAGACAGATCTCAAGACAGAGCGATATCAAGCGAGCTTGTTCTGATGGCTGACAAAGATTTGCAGTAATGATTCACACTGTCCTGTTTGTAACACCACAGACATATGCGTCAGGAAACTTCCACAGTCACTCTATACAAACTCAGCACTTTGGGTCCAGCTGAAAGATTGTTGAAACTGCAGGAAGAAGCTTACCAGAACAGAACGGTACTACAAAACTAACCTTACAAATCTCCAACTTCATTCTGCTGGTTAGTAAAGAAAACAGCTGCAAACTGTAGAATAAATACATATGCTTTTTGATAGCCATATGCAGCATTGTCCATGTATTTATCATCTACTCAATACAAGCCTGAAACCGAGCACTATATATGAGCCTGCAACATCCCTTGTTGCTAGGCAACCACCATGAGAGGCATTCCTGGGCAACCTGATGTTACAGAATCTAAGGTATGTAATTTGAAGGGGGAGGGGGGGAAAAAGCCAAAGAAAATATGAGCTAGCGAGCTAGAGGAGAGGAGAGATACAGATGCCACTCTGTGATGCATCCATCGTGGCCATGGGTGTGTTGTATTTACCTAGTCAGCCTGGGGGGTCCTCTCTCTCGGGCACATGGACAGGCAGCCCACGGCGGGGGCGGGGGGGCGGACGAAGGGAGGCTAGGGGGGTTGCCAAGGGACTGGTCATGGCGGGTTAACACCAAGGGGGTTTTGATGTAGAGTGGTGAAGCATTAGTGTCCAGTGGGGGGGCATGCGACATGTCACTGGGCGGGCTGTGCTTGGGGAAATGCAGACAGCTGGGTTTGGGGTTCGAATTGATGTCAAGTGACGAGGAGGAGGAGGAAGAAGAGGAGGAAGGGGGCGGGGCCGGGGGAGTGAAGCCAGACCAGCGCAGTGGGGGCGGGGGGGAGGCAGGGGGCTGGGACTCTGGACCCGGTGCCACAGGGCGAGCGCAGGGTGGGGGTTTGGGATAGAAGAGGTGGGGGGCAGTGTGGCACGAGGAGATGGGGTAAGGGGGGGGTGGGCGGTCCTCCCCTGGGGGTGGGTGGGCATGAGAGGTGTCCGGCCGATTTGGCGACACGTTGTCTGAGCTGCAGATATTAAGAGAATAGACAGCACAAAAGAAACAGCTCTAGTGATTGAACAGGGAGACGCATTGGAGCGAGATACCAGAAGCTGTTTTGATGGTTAGTGTGTTAGTGTGTCCGTAGCCAAAATAAAAAAATACAAAAACTGCATTTTAGGGTTGGCGGTGGGCACCAAGCTTAGCACACAGTCAGCTTAGTGCAAACACAACCACAAGCACAAAGAAACAGCAAAGGAAAAGAACGTTTTATTGCCGAAGGAAAATAATAGCGTGTATAGGACTCCCTCTGTGTTCACCTTGTGTCTGCACACTGCATGGAGCTGTGAGGATCTGTCTCTAAAGCCAAAGTGCTGGTCTGCAGCTTACAATATTATCCAGCTGAGCTGATGACTAAATATCTCTCTGCAGCATATGGAAACCCTATCTGCCCTTATCTGACAGTATAAGTCTTGTTTGCATGGCAGGTCCTGCAGTCAGCCCAGGGCAGTGTGAAACAGACACAAAACCCTTTCATCGGCTGAAAGAGCCACAGGATAGGAGGGAAAAGCCAGCCAAGCCAGAAGCCATATTATCTCATCTGCCACACAGGCAGAGCCAGCGACCATGAGGTGATTATTCACGTGTTTAACTATGATAATCATACCAGAAAATGGTGAAATCAGTGTCAACAGAAAAGGAAATAATTCACAACCAAAGCCGAGAAAGCCAAGCCACAACAATGGGATATTGGAAATATTAGCATGCTCGCAAAGGACTTGCAGATTGAAGCTTAGTGCCAGGTACAGAATCAAAACTTCCAAACAGTAGTTGGACTAAAACCCTTTAGAGTTAGAGTCAAAAGTGTCATTTTCCTTTTGAAAGGTTAACCCACAAGGACATAAACCTGACAAAACACAGGGTGAATATAAGAGATGTAGAGAGTGAGAAATTATAATAACAGAATGAGACCTTAAGGTGTTGACACGATGCACAAACAAAAAATACAAATTAAAGTGGCAATAGGCACGTATTTAATTTGAATTATTATTCATAAATCTTAACCTCACAATGTAATGGCTATATATTACAACATGAGCATTTCGATTGCTTCCATATAAGCATGTGCTATTTCTGTACCTACCACCGGGTACAATTTGCAATGCATTTCTTGTTTTATCTATAATGATCTGAACAAGGCCATATGTTTGTTTCTAGTAGGCTCTGAGGAAAACGGCGAGCAGCAGTATGGATGGAAAGTTGAACATGGTTCCATTGCCACTTTAATGGAAATATGATTAAAACAGCCAAGGATCTTGTTCACACAGAGCTGAGAAAGTTGATGATGGTGATGATAATGGGGATGACAATTAAATAAACAGGAGTGGATGTGTGAGGAAGAGGGGGACAAGGTCTCCACTGTGACTTACCAAATCCTTTCTCCCAGTGGGGGGGGTTGCAGACGGGGAGCAGGCGAGCTCTCCGGGCTGCTCGGGTATGAGCGTGTCCACGGAGCCCTGCAGGCCTGGCGGGGTGGAGGAGGTCTTTCGTGTCAGAGTGGCCGAACCCTTACGAGACACCCAGGAAGTATCCATAACCCGCACGCCCATACTAGAGACAAACACATCAAGGGTCATATATAATGATGAAGAAAGGGCTGAGTTGGGGAAAGGTAAGGAAAGAAGTGGGGAAATGGGGCATGATACGGTACCTTTGTATCTTCCTAATGCTGCGTTAGTAGGGGGAAGAGAGGCAAAAGGAATGTGAGGTCAGTGATGCAGACAGGGTTCACAACAGGGTTCACAAACACCCTAACCCTAACCCTAACCCTACACTTTATGATGGGGAGATGAGAGCACCAATGGCAGGGAGGAGCAGAAGGGATGTTCCAGAGGTGAGAATATGTCAGCCCACATAACCTGCCTGCACTTATAATGAACCGGTTTGCACTTTTACTGAACCCAAAGTAAAGGCGTGTTTTTGGCTAATGCTGGTCTAATAAACACCTTAAAACATAGACAAGGAACACTCTTTATTCCAAGCTGCTCTTTGCTCCAAATAGTATAAAAACACTTTATTTGTATTTAGGTTTTGTCATTTTATTTTCTATCTAGCAATATGGATATAGTCCTTTGATTTTGGGATGCAGAGGGCTCCAATTCTACCAGTGATTTTCCACCAGCTGGATGAATGACTCAGGCCAGGTGACGTGCTAGCCAGACTGTGAAGGAGGAGCTGGGTGTGGGAGGATGGTAAAAAAAAGAAGTAACCAGCAGCCCTTCATCAGAGACTCGTTGCCATAGAGACAATGCCACTCAATTTGATGCAGCGCCATGTATTCAAATGAGACTTAGGCTTCTGTGCTCCTAATAGTATGGGCTGTATGTGCCAGAATTAGTGAGATATGCGGCCTAATCCACATCTCTGCGTGGCTTTTGGAGGGTCCAGGGATTAAAATATAGGTTAAAGTTGTTAATTGCTTTATAATGGCTGCCTCAAATATAAGAACAAAATTAATTAGATGCCTGTGAAGAGGTGTGGGTGGAAAGAGAGAAAACAGAGTGAGAGTGAGATGTGGGCAGCAGAAGGATGCACTTGGCATCATACCCATCCTTCTTGTAAAACTCCAGCATCATGTTGTCCGTGGCAACGCTCAGTGGCCGTCGGGTCTGGTCGTGCTGCTGCTTGCGCTCCGATTGGTCCAGGTCTGGTGAGGGCATGGAGCTGTAGTTGGAGTTGTGGTTGCTGTGGATCGGGCTGCCGTAGCACCCTGTCAAGTTGAATTCAATCTCTGAAGAAGGAGCAGATACACCATCAGCATTCATAACTGTTATGGACATTGTGGTGTTGGTGTGTGAATGTGTTGGTCATTGTGGAGTCTATCACTTTTATGTGGGAGTTACTACTACTAGTCTAGTCAATCTCTACTTAAATCCACTTAAAAAAATAAAATGTATGTATCAAATACAGTATTATAATGATCGTTAATGTTTTGATTATTTCAGAGAGTAACATTATTGCATGGCTTTAATCAAAAGAGTAACACAAATATATATGGAGAAGAATTGCTGGTGTTTTTACTATGAGACTTGTGCAAACAGGAAGTGACTGCATGGTCTACTGCCTGAAGTCAGGGGTTGATGATGCTGAAGCTTTAAAGACATCATCATCAGATCAGTTTTAGCTTCATGTATGTTTTTGTTGTGACATTTGGGTATATGTTGTTTGATGTGGTGCTTTTCTTTGTGAACTGACACACATGAAGGAGAAACATCTTATTTGTATAGGTCTGAGCCAAACAGTAGTCATACTAGTACAGTTAATACTATTTTTACAATTGCTTGTAATATTAATTAGGTCGAACTGGGTTATACAACTTGCAGGTCATACCCTAAAATATATATAATTGAATTTTTTTTAACGCCATTATACCATAGGAATGATTGAAGATCAATAGATATATATGGCGCCCAGCCTTACTACAATTTTACATACATAGTATGAGATCCCCACCTCCAGGGAAGAACCAGTCAGCATGCTGAATAATGGGCTCAACGATGCTAACAATCTGTAGGGACAGGGTGGTCATCATCTCCGTCATGTTCCTGGAAAGAAAATAGATAATTAAACCGCAGTAAAATCTTATGCGATAAGTGAAGGTAAGGTAGATGTGTTACAACAAGAAATACATACGGTTCAGTGTGTGTCCAGAGCAAGTTAGGACCAAGAACAATGGCCTGGTTACCGGGAGTCATCTTATTGTCGTCTTGGAAGTCGGTTAGCTTGGCTAAGAATTTGATTAGATATCTGTGGGATTTGAATAAAAGCAAAATAATAAAATGAAACTTTACTGTATTTTTTAAAAGTATAAAAGCCACATGGGAACATTATTATAGGACAGAAAATAAGGGAAAGTGACTGACCTGAAATTGTTCAAGTTGTCTGTCGGGAGTTTTTCACACACTGCCATTAATGCTTGAAGCCTCTTCTCCAAATCTGGGATGCTGGAGAAATACAAATCATAAATCATGATGGTTACACTGTTGCTCTATTACTAAATAAATGTCACCATTTTGGCAGTAAAGACTCCCTTTATAATGGACTATTCTGTGTTTTATCTAGGCCAATGACATAATTGAAGAAAAGCCAATTTAAAAAGAGAACAGCAACTCACTTGGAGGCCTGAATCCATTCATCATAAAGTTCAGTGGTCATCAGTGGCTCAGGGAGCTCACGGAGGTATGATTTCAGAGCCCCTTTGGTGAGAAAAACAGGGAGAAAGTGAAGACCAGTTTGCTCTTTTAGAGGAAGGGAGGGTGTTGTTCCCTCTTCAGAGTACTGGTGAGGCGATGCCCCATATCTCCACTACCCTCCAGCAGGCCCTTGCAGCAAGTGTAACTGCCAAATTCAGATAGCTCTACACAGATTTCATGCTAAAGTGTGAAATGCACAGCAATATCAGAACAGAAAGGCTTCAGGAACATAGCACTAGGGTTAGAGCTGATGAAGTTTGCACAACGCTTGTAGACAAATAACAGTATTTTCTGGCAACCACGTCCAAAACCAATCAAAACTTTTGATATGACCTTTAACAAAATTGCAGATTCCACATCATAAAACAACTGGCAGATGTAAGTAACAATCATTGCGTTTAACATAGAAGGATAAAGAAAGTGTGTAGGGGTTGTTGTTATGGAAATGAACTTTGAACAAGGCATTCGTGTGGGAGTGTTGTTCACCTGCGATGGCGTGTGGGTCGGAGGAGTACTCCTGCACATCCAGAATTCCACAGTCCAGGGAGGCTTTCAGCTTCTTCAGCTTGGAGGCTGATGGAGCGATTCTGAAGAGGCCCTGCAACCCACACGCAGGAAACACATAATCATGTGTAATTATCACATCTAACATGACCTGTGCATAAATGCTGTGCAAAATTCATAGCCATTATTGTTGAACACTTGACATTGGTTGATGATAAATAACACAGAAACAAACTGTTGGCTTTACATACTTTTGGCCATTAATATTTTAATGTAAACCATCTTTATAGCTTGCTGTCAGATTTTAATTGGTTAGCACAAAGATATTAAAATCGTAAAGATGATTAGTGAGCTCAGTCTCCCACACATGTTTCCTGTTGCAAAGATGTTGCTACTCGGACTCTAAACTTCACAATTTTAATTTTAATTAAAAGGTCAAGAAGATCAGAGCCAATTCAAACTCTTAAAAATGAGTCATTCCAGGCCGACAACGTCAGGTTTAAACTATGCACTGAATAGTGGAAGTACATCTCTGTGTGTTGAGATAGTCTAAACTAAATAATATAAAACACAATAAACTTTTAAAGGTATTTTTAAAATGTATATTAACTCCCATACAGTATGGCATCTTTGTAATAGACAGATTGATACGTTTAAGCACCAAGTGACACATACACAAGAGGACAAATGCATATTAACTTACACCAAAAATACCTAAGCGATGTGTCTGTCAATTTGTATGTATATGTGTATGTGTGTGTGTGTGTGTGTGTGTGTGTTTGTATGTCCTCTACCTCCTCTTGCATGCCACACTCTAACAGCATTGTGACACAAGCTTCAATGGGGAAGGCAATCTCTCTCCCACTAATATTCAGGTGATCCTCCAGAGACTTGCCATACGACGGCTTCTCCACCCACGCTTCTGCAACACAAAACAGTCGCTTGAATTGCACATAGACACAACAGCAATTACATATATGTTTCTTGTTATTTAGCACCTTAAGAATAGCAGGTAGCATAAGTAGGGAGGTGAAGGTATAGCTTAATACGATTGTTATAGGACATTTCAAGGCTGTTATTACTTCAGTGCACATTTGGAGCATATTTCTTCACACACACGCATGGGCAAACACACACACATGCACTCACACACACACACACACACACACACACACCACACACACACACACACACACACACACACACACACACACACACACACACACACACACACACACCACACACACACACACACACACACACACACGAGAAGTAAACTGGACACACTCAAAGGAGAGCTTGACACGGTAGACTTACCTTGGTGAGCTTTTATCTGGGGCAGGATACTCTGAAGAATCTCTAATGACTTCCTGTGATACTCTGCCTGCGTTTCTATTAGCTGTGGAAGGAGAAGAGATTATAACAAACACAACATGATGAATGAATGAATTGTGTATAATGTACAATGTTAATTGTAACCTGTGCCAGCATGGGATCAAATATTTTATTTGCAAAAAGTAAGGATAATATATACTTACTGTCTGGAAGTAATTTGCATAGTCTATTTCTTTGGCCACAAAACTGTACATATCTGCTGACAACTGATCCTGAAACAGAAAATAGAGAGCAACCATCTCATACAGTAAGAAATCATGTAATATATGGTAAATGTAACTGTAATATCATCCTGATATAGTGGTCCATTTGTGTCTGACACATTCAGAATGGCTATAAATCAAATGGAAGAGCTGGAGTAGGGATATATATTAGAATTGCTCTGATTGGAGACTTACCCTACATATCTCCATCCGATTGGCTGCCTCCTCCATCTCCTCTCGGAGAGACTCTGCCTTGGCGCCGGGCTGCAGTGTGCTTGGGTGACTAGATGACTTGGATGATTGATGAAATCTATAGAATAGAGCAAAAAACAATGACCACTGTACTGGATATAATAGCTTCCTGTGCATTTATTTTAATTTTATTTCATATACCTTGTTCTAGCTGAGTCCATGTCCAAAACAAGTTTGGCTAAGTGCTTCCTCTGTTTCTGGATGTTTGGAATGTCCACCTTTAAAAAAAAAAAAGTGCTTGATTAAAGTCAGTTAATGTAATATAAGTGTAGCACTAAATGAGGACCATGTGCTGCTTGTCATTTTTGGAAAAAAGAGAAATAGCTTGTAGAAATATTATTAGGTTGATATGTCTTAATTGAAGCTCACCTCAGCGAGCACATACATAGGCTCCACCACATCTCTTTCTATCTGAAACTCAAACAGGATGAGCTCCTGGGCCAACTTCTCCTCCGTCTCTCCACACATCATCAGCATCTTCCTGTTTGATGACAGCCAAACACAAAGTCAAAGGCATCAAACACAATTAAAATGCAGACAAGGGTAATGAGGACAGAGGATAATTCAATAGCCGAATCAATAAGTAAATATGACTCCATGTGTGTGTATGTGTGTGTGTCAATGGAAAGTGTGTGAGCAAAGTCCTGTTAAATACAGGGACTTACCCCAGGAGAGAGTCATCCCCCAACACAGCAGCTCCTTCTACCATACATTGTGCAAGGATGGTGAGCGGTAGTTTCTTCTAATAAAAAAAGATAACAATACAAAAGCTTTGGTGAGAATGATAGACGGTTATGAATACTTTTATGTTGCATCATCGCACATATGTTCACATCAGTTTGCATCAGTATTCAGTGTCTGAGAGGATGATGGCTGCAGTTACTCACAGAAGGAGACTTGACAGATCTCTTCTCGACATCGGCCCCCTGCTGACCCTGCAGGCAGGCCGTCAGCTTCTTGTGAGTGCTGTGTGTCACCTGCTTGACCAGATCCAGACGCTTCTCCACCTGGAAGAACACACACACATCAGAAACGTCTTTCAGTCACAACACACACCCAACACTGTGCTCCGATAACACATCTGACATTTGTTATGCAGCGTCAGACATCTGCACCTGCTTTTATATACATGGTAAAGTTTATCAGTGAAAAAGTTATGGATATTCACAAACGGCAATGATTTATATTCAATTGAAATGAGGATAACTGGATGTTGTGATGGGCCTTTTTCATTCATAACGTTTTATTAATTAAAATAATCATCAAATATTGGATGATTGTGTGGAAGATCCAGACTGAGCCCATTTGAAGGTTGTAAATAATCAAAGGAAAGGTTAAAAGAAAAAAGCTTTTCTGCTAAAAAAAACCAATTATACTTTCTTGTACAGATTTATGAAATACTGGATAGTAGCTCTGTCTTCCTTTAAAACGTTTTAAATCAAACAACCAGAGAATCAATCTATAATTAACTAAAACACAAAGGTATGTACCCTGTGACAAAACCTTGCTTCCCTTTGAAGGGGCCCAAAGACAATACAATCTCCATCATAATCACATTATTTACACCTTTAACACCGTTAATTGAACACAGCATGAACACTGACAGCACTAACTGCTTAGAGACCATCATTTCATCAAGCACCTGTTAGCAGGTGTTTGGATCACACACACACACACACACACACACACACACACACACACACACACACACACACACACACACACACACACACACACACACACACACACACACACACACACACACACACACACACACACACACACACACACACACACACACACACACACACACACACACTCACCTGTAGAAGGTCCTCGCTTAACACCTCTGTTTTCTCGGCCCTGTAAAGATGAAAATGTAAAACAGTAAGGGTATTTATCTAGGGGAGACATTATTAGCATTATTTGGTGCTGGTATTTTAAAACATTCTCTCTATAAACATTGAAAATCAGGAGACTGAAATATCCATTTCCTATTATCATCATCATACAACTTGTTTTGCCACAAGGGAAAACTTAAATTCTCAACTAGAGAACATGAAGATATGATATTACATAACAAAACGTTTGCAATAAGGTCATTTGAGGCACAAGCGGTGGCGTGTCTTCTCCAAAGATATTCACAAGTTGTGAAATAAAGTCCCAGCTGTATTGCACTGGATGTTGACTCATTCCATTAGCTTTTTTGCACATCATCAATGTGGCAGTGCTCCAAAGTTGGTGGGCTGCATCCATGCACTTGTCCCTTTAGCGCATGTGGGGGTGTGCATGTGAGTGTATGGGTTTGACTGTCTCTCTCAGTCATGATTTAAGATGATCCATAAAGGGAACACATTAGTTATCAGGCGAACTATTCATGTTGTAAACTCGCTGGAGTTTTCTAAGCGTAAACAAAACAAGCAGGACCGCAGCGAGCAAAGGCCGCTGATACAAATATGCCGTTCCCACTGAGGAGCATCACATCCCACTGTGAATCCAGCAGACTTAGCCAAAGACTGAAGGAAAGGGCAGAGAGGTACTGCTGCTAAAGCAGATACAACTACTCATCCGGACTATTGAATGAGCCAGCTTAGAAAACAGCAAACCACTGGATATCATAAATATAAAGTGTCCAGTCAGTTAAACAGCTTATATTTTAAGACATGAGGCAGATCAACAGAGATGAATATCAATGTAATGACAAATTGTCTTAAAGCAGCACTAATTACATCATTTTGGGTTGTTTTTTGGAATTCCATTAAACATTTTGACTTCCACAACACACAACAATGCACACATCTAAAGCAACAATCCAAGACTTATCAGGACCGCCTTATCAAAAAGGAGGAAAACATTTACTTCCTGCTCAAAAGGTCAGGTCCAGTAGGGTCCTGTAGACCCCAAGCAACCACCCAGTGGGGCGCATTTCTCTCTCTACGCTTTCCCTTCCCGTCTGTACAACCTCTTCCTGCTATTGTGCCCCAACCATGCCAATGCCAGTTGTGAATAGTAGTTTTTTAATCATTTATTTAAAAAAATAAATCTGAATTCATCTCTCTGTTGCCCAAGAGAATGGAACAGACTTTGTTTTGTGCTCTATTATTCATCAGCCAGACCAAAACACATCAGCAGCACAATACTGAAATGCTCTTTTCATGTATGATGCCTCGTCACCAAGTCAATCCAACACATCGCATAGCAGCTCTGTGTTGCCCCCTGCATAGTGTTGATGGAACATTTTTTACAAGAAATGACAGTTTGAGAATGGCAGAAAATAAATGGACCACTGTTTGTCTGTTTAATATTGACATGATGTTGTGTATTTACATATTCCATACAATATGGCCTACAATACAACGCTGCTTTCCAGTAAAGAAGAACGTTATTAGCTGCTCTCAGTGCCAAGATGTGAGTGTGGTGCCAGGGGAACTGGGTCAAACCATGTACCAATGGATCTAATCACAGCCTGCCTGCTGGAAAACTGCTCTGCTCACTAAGGGAGGAGGAAAGAATACAGGAAATGTGTGCAAGTTAAAGAGGGAAAGAGAGCATGGTGGTAGAGCAAGGAGTCTGGCATGATTTGTAAGGATAAGTGTGATCGCAGATTGCTGATTACATACGAGGGATACAAATAACCCAAGCACTAAAGTTTGGCTCAGTTTTGCTGCGACACTCCAACAGCCGCTAGAAATCTGTAAAACGCAATGTTCCATAAAATACCTTGTAGGCAGGACTGTCAAATGTATACCATGCTGAGTGTGGAGCCTGCAGGTCTGCAATGCAGCTGTGAGCTCGTCACTGAAGTGTCCTGACCGAGATGTCCCATAGGAGACTCTGGCAGCAGAGGAGCTCTAATAGGGGCCCAACAGCACAGATGGGACAGGAGACAGTGACAGGGACGTGGAGAAGTGAGCAATGTGCTAGAAGTTTTAATAGTGGGGGCCGTCCAGCCATCTCCAGGGAAAGTGTGGGAATGTTTCCTTGAAGGTTTGACTCCACGCTGAACTCATGTAAAGTACATGTCTAAAGGGTGGGTAAAACATACAATTATTTGATTGCATATGTTACATTATTTATTATTCTTTGTTAAGAATAAGAGATTGTAATTGATGCGTTACAGTTATGAAATATAGATTGCGACACAAACTGTTGAGCTCTCATTACGTTAGGATGCAGAATCTCAAGATGACTGCTAATACACCGGAGATTGTCATTCAACTTGTCAGCAATGTGGAGATTGTTCCTATTCATTTAGTTCAGTCAATAGGAGGCTAATTTATAAAGTTAATCAACCTCTTTGGTTTTAAATGTGCTGAAAGTATTACAGTTTTTCTCAGCTTGTCTTGGTTTACATCACTAGATTCAAAGTTAAACGCAGGCATCTGGTGTTCTGGCTAACCACAACTGACGTGGCCATTATGACCCAGAAGACTTCAAACAGATTTGATCTTCAAAGACAGGAGGCCGTCTTGTTCTTTGAGCTTGTTTATTTTCAGACAGTGGTATTTCCTTTTAGGAAAGCACTACCCCACATCACCAGCCTATGAAGGCACAGAGACAAAATGCAATTGCATAGGCTGGATCGAGTACAGGGTGTGATGGAGCTGCTATACACTCTGATGTAAAGCTAAGCCGCAGGAGATTTTGGAGGTGAGGAGTGAAATTCCTCCTCAAATAGTGTGCACAATGAGTCCTGCGGGGAATGTAAACACGTGGGAGAGTTGGCAGCTATGTGGGCGGTGTGCACATGGAGAGAGAGGAAGACTTTGCCAGTGTTATGCCAACCATCTGCCACTTTGCAGGCATTCGTTTACCTGGAGCTGCTGATGACTCAATACAAATATGCACACACAACACTCCTATAATACAGATTAGTTATATCAGGTCAAAAAGCTGAAATGTATAATCAAATTAAAATAGACAAAAACTAGCTTTCTTTGAAACATCAGTGGAAAAAAATCGAACCAACGCAACAACAGACAACTGCATTAACATGAATTTGTACAGAAAATATTCACAAATACAGATGTACGGCCAGACTTTGATAAAATCCCTCTCCTCCTCTGGTGAAATTCACAAAATGCTGATATGATAAGAAGAAGAAAGGTCTAGGTATCTTGACAACATCTGGGCTTTTGTGTTTACAGCTGGCTAAAAAAACACAAAATACTGTGTGCATATTTTCCGAGGAACCTAATACATTCTAAGTAATTGTTGGAAGTGAAATGTGAATACTGTGGTGACCACCTATTAATACACTGGGACATAATTAATACATGGAACTACAGTTGGGGCTATTGTTCCCACACGGACATATATGTGTTGTTATCTATATATGTTGTGTGCCCTCTTGACTTCACTCTCTTCTTCCCGGACTGCAACCGGACAACATGTCCTTTTCTACACTCTAATAAATTACCCTTTTGCACCTCCATTGCACCGCCTCCGACTCCCTATCTCTCGGCACTACATTGGTGACCCCGACAGCGTCTTGGGAAGTTTCCGAGACGGACCCGAACACGGCAAAGGAAACCCAGGTTTCTTTCTCGAAATGTCGGGGATTTTTTTGGAGTCGACCGTAGCTGCTACAGGCACGCGGACTGAGGCTCGGTGCGCGCCCCGCGGAATGGCTGGGGACGTTGCTCGCCATTCCCGCATCGGCTTTCCGGCTACAGGGAGACCATGCACGACCTGCTGGGTCGACCAGCAACCCGATTGCTACCTCGTGGGGTTGTTTCTTCGGGGCGTGCGGCTGCACATCCCAGCTGCGCTAGCTAACGACAACTAGCAGCTAACCACGTTGGCTAACTACGGCTAGCAGCTACCGGTGGCTGCCAGCTAACGGCAACAGCTAACGGCTATCGACCCTTTTGAGTTTTTGCTTTTTTTCTGGTGCCAGAGAGGAGGTTCGACCAGCCGGTTGACCTCATGTGGACACTCTCACATTTTTCACCACCTCCACGGTGGTTCCAGACGCCACTCACGTTTTCATCGACGCCTGGGTGGTGCACTCCTGGACCCCGTCTCACCTCGACGGTTTTGGACGTCGCCCATGCTGCCATCGGCCCGTGGGTGGCGCGCTCCGGAGCCTGTCTGGCCTCTCCTGCCTTCCGGGGATATCCAGACGCCACTCACGTTCATCGGCGCCTGGGTGGCGCACCACTGGACCCCCTCTCGCCTCGACAGTTCCGGACGTCGCCCATGCTCCATCGGCCCATGGGTGGCGCGCTCCGGGACCCTGTCTGGCCTCTCCTGCTTCCCGGGGATGCCTCAGCGCCTGCTGAGGACTTCATGCCCGCCGCTGCGGCACGTCTGCCTGCGGCCGGGTTGCTCTCCTGCCTTCCGGGGATATCCAGACGCCACTCACGTTCATCGGCGCCTGGGTGGCGCACTCCTGGACCCCCTCTCGCCTCGACAGTTCCGGACGTCGCCCATGCTCCATCGGCCCATGGGTGGCGCGCTCCGGGACCCTGTCTGGCCTCTCCTGCTTCCCGGGGATGCCTCAGCGCCTGCTGAGGACTTCATGCCCGCCGCCGCGGCACGTCTGCCTGCGGCCGGGTTGCTCTCCTGCTTTCCGGGGATACCTCGACATCTGCTGAGGACTTCATGCCCGCCGCCCGCGGCACGTCTGCCTGCGGCCGGGTTGCTCTCCTGCTTCCCGGGGATACCTCGACATCTGCTGAGGACTTCATGCCCGCCGCCGCGGCACGTCTGCCTGCGGCCGGGTTGCTCTCCTGCTTCCCGGGGATGCCTCGACGCCTGCCGAGGACTTCGTGTCCGCCGCCGTTGCACGTCTGCCTGCGGCCGGGTTGCGCTCCTTCCTCCCGGGGGGACTGCTCCTCTCTTCCGGGGATACCTCGACG